AAAAAAAAAAAAAAAAAAAATACAATCAAAACCCAAAAACCCACAAAGACACTGAATTGTCCCTGACACCTCATCATGCAGTTGTATTTGTAAATAAAGTCAACATGGTATTAAAATTGTTGGTCATACTCATATACCAAAGAATACCCCCAAAAGAAATCAAGGAACATTATATATACTATTACAGGAGTTCTCTCCACTCACAAATGTATGTATACATGTAAGTGAATAAATAAAATACAAAATCTACATGCATAAACAAAACACACATCCATCTACACATGCATTAAGCCCCCTCAGCACATTCAGCCAAGGCTCACAGCAGAGAGGCCCCTCAACAGGACCCAGTCTGTGGGTAGCTCAAGATTAATAAACACTTGATGGCCGTTATTTCCACTAAGGCCTTAGCAGCAGCTGGAGAAGAACAGCTGCTTCTCTCCTCTCACCAGCACATAGAAGTTAAAGTAAAAAGACAGGAGCACCTCAGCTCTCACTCCAGACTTTCAGGACATTGTGCTTAGAAACTACAACCAAGCAAGCATGGAATCCTCTGAAACCTGGGCATCCTGAGGAGGAGGGAGGATTCTTGCTCACACACCTCTATGCCTATTTTTTTAACTTGCCTAGACAAGTGGGGACCTAACCATTTTTAAATAAGCTCATTATTTCCTGAATACTAGGTTCCCAACACTTGATAATGAAGAATCCATTATAAGTCACTCAAATTTGCTAAGTGACTCAAAATTGCTTTACAGATTTTATAAAGACCAGACTGACATATTGCTATGTCTCCTTTCACCAGTGCTTATGAAAATTCTCCTAAACACAAAATGTTAAGGGGAAGGTTGTTTAGATATCATACTTTTAAGTTTCAGTTTAAATATTACTTCCTTGGGTGTGCCAATAACCAAATGGCCTAGAATAGTGCCTGGCACACAGGGGCTCAGTATTTGCAGAATGAAGGAAAGAAAGAAATCAGACTCCTATTACATATCCTGAGAGCCCCTATACTTCTATCTTTGTTTCTTTTATTTTTTTTTTTGGAGACAGGTTCCTGCTTGATCACTCAGGCCGCCAGGCTGAGTACAGTGATGTAATCGTGGCTCACTGCAGCCTCAACCTCCAGGGCTCAAGCAATCCTACCACCTCAGCCTTCTGAGTAGTTGAGACTACAGGAGTACGCCACCATGCCTGGCTAATTTATTTATTTATTTTAGAGACGGGGTCTCATTATGTTGCTCAGGCTGGCTCGGATTCCTGGGCTCAAGCAATCTACCCACCTTGGCCTCCCAAAGTGCTGGGATTACAGGTGTGAGCCACCGTGACTGGCCCAAGTTTAACTTTACAAGAAACTGCCAGCCGGGCACAGTAGCTCACACCAGTAATCGCAGCACTTTGGGAGGCCGAGGCAGGCTGATCATTTGAGGTCAGGAGCGTACTCTGTGTACTCCCCACACCAGACTAGAGACTTCTTATTTTCTGCCACATCCTCAGTGCCCAGCTCTGTAGGCGTTTATAAGCATCAATTCAACACTGTGAGAAAGAAACAAAGCTCATGTAGTCCATGAAGTCCCCCAAAAAGTCATATAGTATCCCAGTATGGGGTGTGTACCACCAGTGGTACACGAAGTGTTAGGTTGTGTGCAAACACTTTGTATTTTAATAGTTATACATTTGGCCGGGCGCGGTGGCTCATGCCTGTAATCCCAGCACTTTGGGAGGCCAAGGCGGGTGGATCATGAGGTCAAGAGATCGAGACCATCCTGGTCAA